AAAAAAAAAAAAAAAAAAAAAAAAAAATTGATATTGGCAAATGCGCAAGCCGCGCGAGACAAAAAAAAAAAAAAAAAAAAAAAAAAACATTGTTGCCACATGTATGATGTAAAAAAATCTAATTATTTTTTAATCTATTATTTTTTTACTGAATCTGAAAATAATTTTATTATTATAATCTAAGGAAAAAACTAATGTTTCGTTCCATGATTTTTAGTTAAATGAGCTACTTACGATTGAGGTAATAATTACTACAATTTCTAAACGAAATTCGCCCAATGTTATTTATTTTTTCAGTCTGGCAATTCTCGGTCTTTTGTCAAAAGCGGATCCCTGTTTCTTTACCGAATTTTCCTTTTCCAAGGTAATTTATCCGTAATTATTAGAAGAATCCTACAGTGCTAGTGTAAAAATATATTTCTACAGTGTTTCGGCACGGAGCTGTGTTCGATTTGCGTGTTATTTTGTTTTTTGTGTGATTAGTGATAGTGAAACCCGCGCTCGATTTTGCGCCGCTGAGCCTTGGAGTGAGCTTATTTTATCATAATTTTCATAAAAACTACGGTAATTTCATTCCTAACAAATTCGTTTTTGACGAAACGCAATACATTCCCATCGTTTTTGTAAGTTTGAATCGAACTTGTGTTAATTATTCGCACCAAGTTAGCACCTCATTTTATAGCTTTGGATCATGCTTTGGATCAGCGATTTTTTGCATCTGCTGTAGTCCTATACTTGTAAAAGAAGTGTGTATTCATCGCATTATAAAAACCGCTCATAATTTCGAGTTTTTTCAATGTTTGTAACATGTAAACACTGTTGCGTCCATACTGAGTCCAGTCTGCTTTAGTACTTGCGCACAGGATACCTAGATTTATCTGCCCGATAGATGCACTTGCTAGGCGCAGGTCCTGCGTAGATGTAACGATTTTTAACTGCACATCAAAGGTCGCCATTGCTTTTGATTTGGTATCAATCAAAACTTTGAGGTAATTTCAGTTTTGTGGCCACAAAGTGCTGTATAATTGTGTTTTGTGGTTAAATTGGTTAGGAAAAAATTTGTTATTGCTCTTATCAGTGTTTGTATTGTTAATAGGCTAGTGTCAAGGCAATAAAGCAAAATCTATTTTTGCATAGTTGCTAAATTCGTGGGTTTCACTGTGAAATTGCTAAATTGTTTTTAGGTGTTGAGAACTTGCTCTCACTAAAGGCTCCCATCACAAATAGTGTTTTTGTATTGTACCTTCCAATTTAGATTTCCAGTTCCTCCATATTTCAGTGTAACATGCCTGCGTTGTGTTAACTCTAGGCAAACAGCAGACTGAGTATTTTTATGGCATTGTAGAGTGGTTGTTAAATAGAGAGAAATAAAATTATGTTTTACTGATTATAGTACACAAGGAACACTATTAATCATACAAATAACCACACTTGCTGCGTATAGTCTGTTCTTCATCTGATATTTTTGCTGCTACAATAGTATTATGTATTTTTTACCTATTATCTTGAGATCAACTTTATTTAATAAAACAGTTAAAGGATGTCGGTTCACAAAGGGTGCTGACTAAGTCAGAGGCTGAATTACTGGGGGGTCTAGTGTTTGGTCTATTCCACTTTGTTCGCCTGGCTTTGATCACCCAGGTGATCAAAGTCCACTTCCAGCGACAATTTGTGTCCTTTGATCACCTACATACAAATCACACCTCCTCTGAATAGTCACATGTCCAACTGTTTTACTTACATATTTCGTTTTATAACATTTTTGATATTATCTAAAAACCACAACAAACAAATTGGACATGTATGTGACTATTCCGAGCTATAATTTATTTATAGGTGATCAAAGGACACTAAAATAATAATTTAACTGGAGTCCACTTTGATCACCCAGAGCATTGTATCCGTGGGCGATCGAAGGACACTAAATTGTCGCTGGAAGTCCACTTTGATCACCTGGGTGATCAAAGCCAGGTGATCAAAGTGGAATAGACCTAGTGTTCAGTCAGTGACTGTACTGAATATTCACAAAAGAAACAATATTAATTACATAATTTTCCCACAGGAATTCTCTCTAGTCCACAATAATCAACACAGCGGATACCACAATGCCGGAACTGACGGAACTCGACAAGGCCACCGCGTCCATGACCGAGAAGAGGAAGGAGGAGACCGCGTCCTCGGACAGCGACTCCGATGACACCATCCCCGAGCTGGAGGATGCCGGTTAGTGGTTTATAATGTTTTGAAGGTAACGTCATTTTGCCTTTGTTATATTGCAGAACTATGTGGGAGTTTTGCCGTAAAATACTGAATTATATCTAACATGGTGTTTTGTTGGCTTAGTTTAAAAACTTTTGGAGTGTAGACTTACCAATGTAGCTCAGTAGTAAGAGCAGTAAATGACTGCTAGTGGGTTTGAATCTCACAGAAGCCGGTCTTTGCTTTCATGTAAAATACAGTTAACTTCTCAGATTAACACCAGCTAGCCAAAGTCCGAATGAGTTTCTTGCGCTTTTCTCAGCACTGGCCCATTGTCGTTAGGAGTCCTAACTTAAGACATGTAAAAGAGTTCTTTGGTAGCCTACTTGCAAAAAACACTTATCTGGGCCTTTTCATGGCGAGAATAAATAGGCACTTATAGGACAGATAATTATGTGGGTATTTCTCATCGCCACGGTTCTCATCGTCACCTTCGTGGCGAATTTTATTTCTAACTTATTTCAACTTTTTTTAAACAAAAATTGTAGCACTTGATGTGAAGATTGTATTCTCAGTAAATCAGTCAAATAGTGAGTCTCGTTTGGAAGCTATAACGTTTTGAATTTTTTGATGCCACGAAAGTGATTCACAGCAATAATTTTTTCAAACTTTACTACTGTAAATGACTCTTAAGTGTTTATAAAACATATATTTTGTCTTATTTTCATAGATAAATAGCAATAACATAATATAAATAGGTACCTACTTAATTACAAGATAAAAATTTACCGATTACGTCACCTACTAAGTTACAAGATTCTACGCAATTGGTTTTAAGGGTGACACTGGTGGCATTCTGAAATGCTAAAGAAGTAAAAAACGGATTATCAGTACCTCAATAAAAAAGAACTCTAACTGATTATCAGTCCCTCAACAAAAATATATTTTTTATTTAGGCCAGAGGGCCTCGTATTTTTGTTGTACAACTTTTAACTCGAACTTCAGATTAAATTTATCTTACAAACAGATACACAGTCACATATACAGACACAGACATACATACAGTCATACAGACAGCCAACAAAAATACGAGGCCCTTATTTATTTATTGATGTACTGATCTCTACTTACCACGTATAATTTATTAGTTATTAAAATATTGTAAAAACATAAACACCAGTCACTATATTTTAAAATAAACCAAAGCAAGAAATCACTTTCGTGGCCTAAAATCACCTTCGTGTATAAAATACCACGAAGGTGATGCCACGAAGGTGACGAAAATTTTAGTTTTTTATGAATTATCCTTAAATTTGAATTTAACGGTTCAAGTCGAATACTACACAAATAAGTTTAACATGTTAAGTTTTCAATGGCAAAGTTTCAATTAAATTGTTTAAATTTTAGAGGTAGAAAATATTGTTCAAGCAAGCGACGGTATGTCTATGCATAATCACAAAAAGTTACGTATTTTTTTCGCGAAGCGACGATCGACCTATCTCACCTCCCCAATGGTCGAAGCGCGACTGACGTTAACGGAATAGAACGCTGTGATTGGTTACTGGTGTTCGGTTTAACGGCAATCTTGCATTATTACTCAAAATTTTAGGTACCTAAAATCGTGTGACCAACGTATTTCGCTTTCTCAATTCAAAATAATTATAAGAAGATATTTTTTTGATTTTTGTGTGGAAAGTATATTTAATTACGATGATTTTAGTATATGCTACACACAAATTGAATGAAAATTGTGAATGCAGTAACTAAATGTTTCATTGCAACCGAAGGTGTGACACGATGAGAACGCGAAAAATGACCCCGTTTTTTATCGTTTCATGTGATTTTTTCGTATTATTTTTGCTTCTATTACAATAAAATTTATTTTGTATGTAGCTAAATAGATATTTTATCATCTGATTTCAAAGTTATTGTTCTAACTTATACCGTTTATGAACTATTATTGTGTGACCATCAAATTTGAGTGTAAATGAGAAGTACCCATGTACTATCTTCGACTGCATCTCAATTATCACTTAACATCAGGTGCGATTGCGGTCAAATACCTGCCTTATTCTGCATAAAAAAAAGTTCTATTGCTATACTGACAGCTTATAATTATGTTGTATGTAGGAGCCCCAGGCACCGGCGGGATCTCAAACCCGATCGCCGGCATCGACATCGTGTCGAAGGCCAAGCAGTCTCGCGGCGAGAAGAAGGCGCGCAAAATCATGAGCAAACTAGGACTGAAGCCCGTGAGTACATTGTTGTTACCTTGTTTGAAGCTGTTAAGCAATTGTGAGGGTTATCACTGCATCACGCTCCGTTGCGGTACATTTAGCCAAGGCGCAGACCACCAACTTTTAGCTGGCCGATAGTTGTGTCGGGCTGTTAATCAGTCTGGACATGTATGAAAGCACATTACACCGATTTCGTATCGGCCAATTATTCATACAAATTAGAATCGGGCCCAACTATCGACCGACTAAAAGTCGGTGTCGTTAATCGGACAACAGAACTGTACACTGCACTGCACATAGTCGAGAGATGCTACCGGACACTGCAACTCGATTTTTGTCCTGGACAAACTTGACTTTTACTGGTTGGGTTTTTATTGGCGGTCAAGCTGTAGATCCTGGCTACACTGGAGTTGGAGCGGTGGGAACGAGAGGTGGGAATAGTCCCGGTTATACTGTCCTATGAAAATAAAGCATAGGTT